TCCATGAGTTTTATCCCGTAATTGTGAGTCTGTGAAACAGAGTTTATGCAAGTATTATTATTAATTATTGTACTATTTTCTATACGAACAACTGGATACCCACTTTTGCCCCATCCTGAGATTATTTTTATGTGAAAATCCAAGGAAACGAGGTAACAAAATTAGCAAAAGTCAACTGGCGACCAGGGAGGTGGGCGAGCGGTTTGGTTGCCGGCTTGTTTGGCCCCCTTTCCCACGTTCCAGATGTTTTCTGTTTCGTTATGAACAAAATCAACTAACAGTGAAAAGACATGGTAGGAACAAAATAACTCAAAGCCTATTTAATTTCCTCTTCCAAAAAATATACCTGACTGGTTATGCTGGTGAGAGAAGCTCGTCTCACGGTGCAGACGGGCTGCTCAGGAAAGAGGCAGAAGGCGAAGCCGTGCAGTGGCTGCAACTCTACAGGCTCGGCAAAGCCCGTGTTCACTTGTTGCTGGGCCCACATTTTCTTGTTGGGACCAAGATGCTGTATTTGAAAGAATGGGACAAATAGAAGTCAGGAGTGGGTGATTTGGGACAGGTTATAGGAAAGGAAAAGGTGACCCCCACATGCAGGCACAGCTCTGGGGACCAGGCAGTCCCCCCTCCCCAGACTATGGGGACCCAGCACAGGCTCAGCTCTCCTCAGTCTCCAGGGAGCGCTGGTCACAGACACTCCTCCAGGCCAGGCTCAGGGGCCCCAACCTGCCCAAGGTGGTTCCCGGGCACCCAGTTCCTGCATGGATTTCACCTGCTCATCCAGGTGGCGAGTCTCAGTGAAGCCATGCAAGTGAGGGTCATTTTTGCCAGTGGCCAGTGTGTGCAAGTCCAGTGGTGACTGATCGGGGCTTTTCCCCGAGTGTAACGCACACCCCGTGGCATCCGGCCCCTTCTCCGGGCCATGGGGTCCGGTTTCCTGATGTCCTGAAGGAGGGCTCGGCCCCCTCGTTGGTCCCGCAGCTCCATCAGGCCCTCAGCATGCCCCTGTCCTCAGGACGGGTGAGGAAAGTATTTGGAAAGTTCTTCAAAGCTGCTTCATCGCAGCAGCATCGCCTCATCGCGGTCAAAGTAGGAGACCTGGGCTGGGAGACGCAGGAAGAGGGGAGCTGCAGCTGGTCTGGTGGGTGATGGCGGCCTCGGAGTCCTCGTGGTGGCCTGGCGCACCTGCGTCACAGTCGTCCTTGGCATGGGCACTGTCGTCGGCGTCGGCATTGGCATCATCACGGTGGGCAGCAGGCGGCTGTCCGGCGCTGGAGCCGCGGGGCTGGGGCTGTCCCCGGGCCAGGGCGCCGGGAGGAGGCGGCGCTGGGCTGGATCTGGGCGCTGGCTGCTTTGGGTCCAGCGCCGGGTTCGGGGTTCATCCGAGCACTGTTGGAGCGAGAGCCCACGGCGACCGTCTGTGAAAACTGTCACTGCCATTCTTTTTAAAAAATATATTTTAATTGATTTTTAGAGAGAGTGGAAGGGAGAGGGAGAGAGAGAGAGAAACTTCCAGTAGCGAGCGCTGCGCATGGGCTCCAGCCGGAGACCGAGCCCGCAACCCAGGCATCGAGCTCGCCACCCAGGCCTCGGGCTCGGAAGCGAACCAAGCTTTTGTCGCCTGAGAGGAAGCCCAACCAACCGAGCCGCGCCGGACAGGGCTTACTTTCATTACTTTTAAAAACAGAATTGTTTAGCCCTGGCCGGCGTGGCTCTGCGGGTCAGCATCCACCTGGGATCCAGGAGGTGACGGTTCGATTCCCGGCGAGGGCACATGCCCGGGCTGCGGGCTCGACCCCCAGCCGGGGGCATGCAGGAGGCAGCGGATCAGTGACCCTCTCATCATTGATGTTTCTCTCTCTGAAATCAATAAAACATACATTTAAAAAAATAAAATAAAGAGCCATTCCTGCCTGGCTGAAAGGTGGCATTAACGTATGCATCTGTGGGCAATGATAACGCCTTCCATTCTAGAAAGGAGTAATTTTTTGAAACTGTTTCACAAGGTAAAGCCGGCATCATATTCCTGTTTTGATCAGTCTGCACTCCCTGGATCACTGGTCAGCCAGCCTGCGCTTTCCTGGGGTTTGTGTGCCAGCCCTTGCTCTTTTCTGTGAATTTGGTAACTTCCTGGGCCCATTTTTTTTTCCTGTGAGGGTGCATTTATTTCTTACCCATTTGCACACGTTCTTTATAAACCAGAAATAGTATTCCTTCAGTTATAATATTTATGACAAATATGTCCCTAGATCGTTCCTTGCTTTCTGATTTTATTACCACTTTTGGCGTGCCAAAGCTTGCATTTCCATGTAGGAAAACATACAGGTTTCCCCGTTGTGATTTTCTCCCTGGGTTTTCACATCTCCATGGACATTCCAGGTCCATCTCCACACTCACCTGAGTGTTACATCTAGATCATTAAATGTTCTTTAAAAACAACAACAACAACAAAGTTAACTCTAACTTGTCCCGAACTATTTCAACGAAGGCTGGGAGATATAAGTGGAACTAGACTTTTCCCAGACAGCCCATTTTTCCATTGCAGTGGCTGATCCCTACTCCTTTCCCGGTAACCTGCGCTGCTTTTCTCGCGTGAGAAGGTTTTATGTCACCTTTCCAGGCCATTCTACTCTATTTCATTCATCTGTCTCTCCTTGAACCAACATATTACAATATTTTAATCAAAACTTTACCGTTTTCATGTCTGGTCTACATTCTCCGTATCACTTTTTCAAAAGCGCCTTAGCTATTCTTACCAATTTATCCGCCCAGATGAAACTTAGAATTTCGACGCGTTTTCCCCGGACCGTGTGGAATTTTGGTTGCGTGGGTGCCCATCCGGGGTCAGGGTTCGGCTGCAGTTTTCTTCCTATAGATCCCGCTCAGATCTCGTTTCTAAGCGATCTATGGTGAGTATTGGAAAGCGGATTCCGCACTCTCCCCGCTCAAGGGGAGGTTACTCCTAATAATTACTAGTAATTATTGTCAGAACAGAAAGCAAGGGTTTGTGTGTTTTTGTTTTGCTGAACTCTACTATGGATCCTGAGAATGCCTTAAAGGCTTCTCGGGGGTTCCCGCATGGGCGTCACACCTACCAATCATGACACTGGGGTGTCCTCGCCCTGGTCCCGAGTCTTCTTGCTTCTGTTCCCTGCGCTCCTGCGGTGGCGAGGCCTCGGAGAGGACGCCCGCCGGTAACGGCCCACCTGTTTCAGGTGTGTTTTCCTCTCCAGGATGCTTCTAGCACCACGTCTCTGTCCCACTGCCCCCGAGAGGTGAAGACACCTTGTTAAAAACCGTGTTCAGACAGTATCTCATGGAACCAAATGGGAGACGTAAACCTAGCTCCTCCTTTTTAAAAAGGGGGGAAGGCTGCCTCTGGCTGGATTTGGGGGCGCCGCTGCTCTTACAAACCCCCTTTCTTGTACGATTGGATTCTGGACTCTGCAGGGATTGTGAATTACTCTGCTTTTGCTTTAAAATCAAACAACAGCAGGAAAAAGAAAAGGTGCATAGAAACTTCTCTTCCAGTTTTCAAATAACTTGAGACGTCAAGAGCGGCGGCCAACGCTGACCCCCCGCCCCCTCCGCGCTGGGACGGCC